GTAACATAGCAGGTAATTTTTTGGGGAAAGCAGTTCACGCGCACAGCATGCGTTTGGCATACGCACACACGATCACCGAACCGGTTGTTACACCGGAAGCATCCCACCATTGACCTCAGGACATCACAATGGTCATAAATATGTGTTGGTTGCCCGTTAGGAAATTTTTCCCTAGTTTCTAGGTTGGTTCTCTCCTTGATAAGTTTCCGTCCATTGCTTCTTGTTCGCTTTCAGGTGTTTTGACCCCCATCTTCTTTGTGGCAGCAGATAACAGATAATAATCAGAGTTGGAAGGAACCTTGTACGTCATCTAGTCCAACCGCCCCACCCAAGCAGGAGATCCTACACCATTTCTGACAAATGGCAGTCCAATCTCTTCTTGAAAGCCTCCAGTGATGAAGCTCCCACAACTTCCGAAGGCAACTTCTGTTCCATTGGTTGATTGTTCTTACTGTCCTTATTTCCAGGTTAAATCTCTCCTTGTTTGGTTTCCACCCATCATTCCTGGTCTGGCCTTCGGGTACTTTAGCAGCCACTTGGAACACTCCTAACACGGCACCCCTAGTCTTTCTTTTCATTAAACCTAGCATGGGACCCTCTTTTGATTATGTTCTCCTCTTTTTGTTCTTAGGCGAGCTTGTTTATCAAGCTGCTTCACCAGATGAGGAAGCCCTGGTAACAGCTGCCAGAAACCTAGGTTATGTCTTTCTCTCCCGCACTCAAGATACTATCACGATAAGTGAACTGGGTATACAACGGACTTACAAGGTGCTGGCATTGCTAGATTTCAATAGTGTCAGAAAACGGATGTCTGTTTTAGGTGAGTATGGATTCTTCAGGTATTACTTCTCTGCATATTTGTTGAGCTGCAAAGTATAGCCTCCCTAATGGGTATTTGGGCAAATGTGCAGGATCGGGAAGAAAATATTTTTTTTCAAAAAGTGGAGAATTTCTTTTTTAAGGAGGATTAGGCAGGTGCTTCTGTTTTATTGAAAGCAGCTTAGAACAGTAGGAAGTGGTGGCGTATAAATTAATGCAACTAACGAGGTAAATCTGGTGAGAAACAAAACTGCCTTAAAACCTGAGCCAAAATTGGCAGATGAAAAGTGAAGGCAACAGATAAGGATTTTGTGTCTGCCATCCCTCCATGTTCACTCCTCACCCGCTGCTGAACTGGGATAAATTAAAATCAAAATTTAATTGTTTGAAGACAAAATAAGCTGGGAGATATCCCAAAGGTACTTTTTCCAAAAGGCAACCAGACCTTCTTGGTTTTTTGCTTTGAAAACATTTCACTTCTCATCCAAGAAGCTTCTTCAGTTCTAACTAACTGGTGGGGAAAGGAAGGTTGGGGGTGGGGGTGGGGGGGAGATAGAGAATTGTTCCTTTTTTTAAATGTTGGTGGGTAGGTTGTGTGACATGCCAGCGGTCAAGTTAAGCATTTTCTGGATTTTGAACACATTGAGCCCAAAATGTTAACATCACTGGTCTGGGAACTGAGAGACCCAGGTTTAAGTCATAGAATCATAGAATAACAGAGTTGGAAGGGACCTTGGAGGTCATCTAGTCTAGAACAGGAGAGTCTATTCTGGGTGTCAGCAACCTACGGCTCTGGAGCCGCATGTGGCTCTTTGGGCCCTCTGCTTTGGTTCCCTATTGGGTGATCCTGGCTGGCCCTGCCCCTCACCCTCCCCTCCCAGTCACTCCTCGCCTGGCCTGAGAAGGTAAAACACAGAAAAACAAAAAATGAGAGGGAGGGAGGGAGAGAGAGAGACCCATTTCCCACAGAAAACACCGGGAGCCACAAAACCTGGGTAGGCGTGATGGGTCATGTGACTGGGTGGGAGTGAAGTTGAGTTGGCCATGTAGCTCCCTGTGGGAATCGGGTCCAAATGGCTCTTTGAGTGTTTAAGATTGCAGACCCCTGATCTATTCCCAATATTCGCCTCTACCTAGGATCGAACTCACAGCCACCTGATTGTGAGGTGAGAGCTCCACCTCTAGGCCACCTGAACTGAGGAGCGTTCTGACCTCAGCCGTGAAAGCTCATGTATAACTTGGATCAACCTATCCTAAGAACTGAGTGCTTGGAGGGAAAATCCAATGTGAATCTAAGAAACAAGCAGGGAAACAAACCAACAGATGAATGCAAGGTGGCATAAATATCCTTATCTCTTTTTCTCAGTGCAAGATCCCGAAGGTTGCATCAAGCTTTACACCAAGGGGGCAGATTCTGTGATCCTAGAAAGGCTCCACGGTGACCGGACCAATGAAAGTTGCACCATCAAAGCACTGGATGTAAGTTTTGTATTGTATAGAAAAGCCAGGATGGGGGCCGTGGTTATCTAGCTGAAGCTCCGCCCCATTTTTAGGTCCATCGACGTGTGTTAAAAGAAGGGGGGAGGACTTCAATCTTGCAATTCAGCTGTCATCTTGATGGCTCTAATTACAACCAACACCACCTAATTTCTCTTTAAGCCAAATTTATCGGCTTAAATTTGAGCCAATCATTCTTCTCCCAGGGATCCTGTGGGGGAAAAACCAGAACTAAGAAGAGATTGGACAGCCATTTGTCTGAAATGGTATAGGAGGGTTAGACTAGAACAGAGGTGTCAAACTCAAGGCCTGCGGGACAAATCCGGCCTGCGGAGTGCTTAGATCTAGCCCATGGGGCTGCCCTGGAAACAGTGAAGGGCTGGCCTCAGTGCCTCTGCCAATGAAAATGGAGCTCTGGAGCTCCGTTTTCACTGACAGAGGGTTGCAGGAGGGTGTCGCAGCCGAAAATGGAGCTCGTGAGGGTCTCGTGCAGCCCTCCCGCTGTTTTCACTGGCAAAGAGTTGCAGGAGGCCATCACAGCTGAAAACGGAGCTTGTGAGGACCGCACGTGGTCCTCCCGAGCTCTGTTTTCATTGGCAGAGGGTTGCAAGAGGCCACCGCAACTGAAAACAGAGCTCGCGAAGGCCACACATGGTCCTCCCAAGCTCCATTTTTGTTGGCAGAGAGTTGTAGGAGGCCGTTGCATCCCAAAACAGAACTCAGGAGCCCATTTTTGCTGGCAGAGTGCTCGGGCCGCCACAGGCATCCCCAACACAAGTGACATTGAGCTAGCTACCTACCCTGGCTATGCCCACCCCGGCCTCCTGAGATCAAACGCAACCCTGATGCGGCCCTCAATGAAATTGAGTTTGACGCCCCTGGACTAAAGATCTCCAAGGTCCCTTCCAACTCTAATATTCTGCTATGTACAATGCTGACCTTCCTGGTTGGAAAGTTTGGGTGATAACGTCACAAATAGGCACACAAATTCATAGCAAATCCCCCTCCTTAACAACCCATGCTTGTCCTCTCCCCCAGAGTTTTGCAGCGGAGACCTTAAGGACTTTATGCCTGGCTATGAAAGAGATGGACAAAAAGGAGTACGCCCTATGGAGCAAGAAACACCATGCGGCGAGCATCTTATTACAGGGCCGGGCCCAAGAGTTGGACAAATTATATGAGGAGATTGAGCAGAACCTCAAGGTAAACGTTGGTTTTGGTCTGGACTGACAGCCGAGTCAAAGTGAGAGCATGGATATTCTTCTATTTCTGAGAGTTGACATTATTTAATATTGCTTTGGCTGAAAAGAGCCACAAAAATAGTCCTCAACTTACGTCCACAATTGACCCTAACATTTCCATTGTTAAGCAAGACCGTTGTTCATTGAGTTTTCCCCCATTTACAACCTTCTTGCCACAATTGCTAAGTGAATCACTGCAGCTGTTAAGCCCATGACATGGTTGTTAAGTGAATCTGGCTTCCCCGTTGACTTTGCTTCTCAGAAGGTTGCAAAAGATGATCCCATGACCCCGGGACTCTGCAACCGTCATAAATACATGCCAGAGGCCTAGCATCTGAATTTGGATCACATGACCATGGGGATGCTGCAATGGTTGTGATGTGAAAAACGGTCATGAGTCATTTTTTCCACTCATGTTCATTCACTTTGAACGATCACTACACACATGGTTGTATTTTGAAATTTTGGCCTCAGTTGGGTTGTATGCAGTGGTGCTTTTCTATTGGTTTGACCTGGTTCTGGCATACCAGGTAGCGCCGAAGATCAGCAGACAACGAACCAGTTTTATCTGTGGAGCTGCTGGAGCTGCTGTTGGGGCCACCCACCTTCCCCGGGCTCCCATATTTTTTTTTCTCATAAAAAGTGTTTTATTTTTAACAACAAACATAGACAAATACAAACATAAATACAACAAAATAAAACCATCTTTCAATTGTACAGTGTGTCAGTTGGTACGTAATTCTTGTGCACAATATGCATAGTCTTTTCCTCTTGAATTTAAATTTACATTCATATTACATTAATCAACTTTCCATGTCATATTATATTATTATTACACCATCATTAGATTTTAGTTTCAAATCCACATCATCCTTTAGAGCAAATCTCAGTTCTTACCAATTTTAGTTCATATTAAAAGTCATTCTATAATAATCAATTATAACATATCATTACTGTTAAATTATACTTCAATCTTCCACTTTTCTATCTAACCATTGGTAAAATAGATCCCATATCTTAAAATATTCTTTTTCGTCTTGCTCTCTAATTGCTCATGTTAATCTACTCATTTCTGCACATTCCATTATTTTCTTAATCACCTCCTCCTCTATTGGAATTTTCTCATTTTTCCAATTTTGAGCAAATACGATTCTAGCTGCAGTTAAAACATTAATAATCAAGTATGTCAATTTTCTGTAAAATTCCCAGTAAAAGTATCTCTGGTTTCAAATCTATATGCTGTTTTGTCATTTTTTTCCAGCCATATGTGTATTTTAGTCCAGTATCTTTTAGCTTCTGCACACGTCCACCACATATGGTAATAAGATCCAGGTATCTGATGACATTTCCAACACTTTGCCAATTTATCTTTGAACATCCTTGTTATTCTTGCTGCGGGGGGCAGATGCCACCTGTAAAACATTTTATACAAATTCTCTTTATATGCTGTTGACATTGGTAGTTTATAGTTTCTCGTCCGTAGTTCCCTGGGCTCCCATACTGACCTTCATTCCCTGCTTTTGAAGCGCAGCTGCTTTGCACGGCATAGCAAATTGCCGCGCATCAGCTGCTGAAGCGACAGGGAGAGTGCAGGATTGCAGGAGGCGAGTTGGAAAGCCTCTGCGCATGCGCAAAGTGCGTGTTCGGTGGGTGTGCGCAAAGTGTGTGCATGCACGCAAAGCGTGCCCATCAAGCCATGTTCACTGAACCGGTGTTAAACTATTTTGAAACGCACGACTGGTCGTATGTCAAGGATTGCCTGTAGTGTACTATGAAATTTGTACTGTGAAGTTTTGAATCAACTCTTGTTTTGTTCTTTCAGCTTCTGGGTGCCACAGCCATAGAGGACAAATTACAAGATGGGGTCCCTGAGACCATTCACCTTCTCAAAAGGGGGGACATCAAAGTATGGGTGCTAACTGGAGATAAGCAAGGTACATCAGCCAATTCGTGATGTTCTAATCCCAGGGAATCCTTCAGAAATGACATTCCTTTCTGCAAAAAAAAGTTTTGCGGGCATCCAAATGATTTCACTTTACTTCAAGACGTATGTCCACAGCTGAGTACAGAATCTGAAAAAAAATAAACTCTTTAAACAAATTGAAACACATTACTCACTGAACCCTTGTTGGTGGTGCAGTGATTAGAATGCAGTTTTGCAGGCTAATTCTGCCAACTGCCAGCAGTTCAATTCCTACCAGCTCATGGTGGACTCAGCCTTCCATCCTTCTGAGGTAGGTAAAATGAGGACCCAGATTGTTGAGGGGGACCCATATGCTGACTCTGTAAACCGTTTAGAGAGGGCTTTAAAGAGATTTGATAGTGAACTGGCCACTTACAAGGAGTTAGGAAATACCAGTTTGTTTCCAAGATTCTGTATTTACTCCAAAAAAAAAAAAAAACACCCAAAAACCAACAACCTTGTTTCAGGGATGGAAGGAGAAATAGAAGAACATGTGCCATGCTCCAGCTTTTAATCCCATTTCTGGTCTTCATTATGTTTGCAGAAACTGCTGTCAATATTGGGTTTGCTTGCCAACTCCTTTCCGAAGATATGATCATTCTGGAGGAAAGCAAAATCAGGTATGGAGCTATGAAAAATGTGTTTGGATCAGTGTTGGGATTCAGTCTTTTTAACTACCGGTTCTGTGGGCATGGATTGGTGGGCGTGGCTGGGGAAGGATACTGTAAAATCTCCAGTGGTATTTGCTGGTTCTCCAAACCACGGGTCGCCAACTTTTTGGACCTCAGGGACCACCAAACTCATAATTTTAAATCCCAGGGACCACTAACCAGTTCTGTGGGTGTTGCCTAATTTGTGGGTGTGGCTTGGTGGTCATGTGACTGGCTGGGCATGGCTTGTATGTAAATATTACAAAAATTTGTATAAATATTGATTTTTTTATTAAAAAAAGCAACTTTTACCCCAAATCAGGCAAAGCAGGTAGGCAGATTGAGTTGCTCACAGAATCACAGATTCATTCAGAAATCTATCTGCCATTGGCTAGCTCAGTCTGCCACATAAAATTTGCTTGCAAGCAAACTCACAAAATTAACTCACAACACACCATATATGTAAATATTGAATTTTTTATAAAAAAAAAAAAAAAGAGCAACTTTTACCCAAAATCAGGCAAAGCAGGCAGGCAGATTGAATTGCTCACAGAATCATTCAGTGATCTATCTATCTGCCATCAGCTAGCTCAGTCTCTCAAATTTGCTTGCCATGAGTCTGCACTGAATAATAGAACCTTCACTCTTAAGGGAGGTTCAGCTGTGCTTAAAAGCAGAGCCGAAGATCTAAAGCTTAGCTGGAAAGCAAGAAATCCAACTATTTCCTGCTTCTTAGCTAATCTAAATCTCCCGGCACAGCGGAACAGATGATAGTCGGAAAACGGACAAATAGCAATTTAGCAGGCAAGTTTGCCGGGTAAGGAGTGGGTGGGCGGGGAGGGTTCCCGCAGGCCATGTGGGCCTTGTGTTTCTGCGCAACCTGGATTAATTGCTTGGGGGGGGTGCTCTGGGGGTGAGATTTCTCTGCGGCCCACCAAAATTTTCTCATGGCCCACCAGTGAGCCGAGGCCTACCAGTTGCCCACCGCTGCTCCAAACTACTCAAAATTTCCACTACCGGTTCTCCAGAACTGGTCAGAGCATGCTGAGTACCACCTCTGGTTTGGATGTGGTTGGCCAAGTGAAAAGAAGTAAGTCAACTTTGTGGTTGGCCAAGTGAAAGGAAGTAAGTCAAACTGAGAAATAATCAAGTGTTGATTGGAAACCCTAGATCAAGTTTGGGTCTAGGTCACTGAAGTCAACTGGACTCAAAGGGAGAACTAAAATGCATAGTAGCCTTTTTTTCTAGCCCAACACCTTAACCGCCACACTAAACTAGCTTTCCCTTATGCTCTGTTGGAAGTTAAAACCCACCCTTCTCCTAGAAAAATGAAATATTTTAGGATATACTAAAAAGGCAGAATATTTCCCCTAAAAGAGGAGTAGAAACTCAGAGAGGCAGAAACTCAGCCCCCTCCTCCACATCTTTGTTAATGGGCCATTAAGGCCTGGGCCAGTCTATTCTACTTAACAAAGATCTAACTCCTTCAAGCAGAACCATAATAGGAATTGCCCAAACCCCTTTCATTACATCATCACCCAGCAAGAGTCAACCAAGCCTGGGACTCAAAAGACAACCTACCAAGTTACCCCTGCATGGCCCCATGGGAGTCTGACAACCAATCAGAACACAAGCTCAAATTCAAAGCCCAGAGAGGGCATAAAAACCAGGGACTCTCAGCATCTCTTCCAGGGATGGGATGCAAATATTTTTACTACCAGTTCTGTGGGTGTGGCTGGGGGGGGGGTGGCTAGGTGGACATGGCCATGTGACTGGGTGGGTGTGGCTTTTTTTGTGCACTCCGGGTTTGTTTGTTTGTTTTGCCTCCTGGGCCTCAGGGCGAAGCAGTAAGACAGCGAGGGGGATCCTGGCACAGCTGATTGTCAGAACAGCTGATCATTGGGAGGAAGAAAGAAAAAGAAATACCAGTTCGACTGAACCGGTAGCTGTTTTTTTTACTACTGGTTCAGCCGAACCGGTAGAATCCCACCGCTGATCTCTTCCCTTTTCTTCGCCCATGAGCTTCAGGCCATGTTATCCTGTCCACCATTAAACTTCCAAACAGCCTCCATGTTTCCAGTGTCTTTCTTCCCCGCTTGGAACTGAACCCAGAAGGAAATTTCTTCTAACAGCTCAAATCATTGGGTAGTGAATCTCTTTCACCCATATTACTGTGTTTATTGGATCTAATACAGTTCATACAGAAGTTTTCCCCTCAAAACTGCATGATCCTTTTAATAGAGTTTCGGTTGCTAAGCAAGGCAGTTGTTAATTGAGTCCAGCCTGATTTTACTACCTTTTCGCCATTGTTGTTAAGCAAATCACTGCTATTGTTAAGTGAATCATGAGGTCATTAAATGAATCCAGTTTACCTCATGGACCTTGTATGTCAGAAGCCTGGCTGGGAAGGTTGGCAAAGGTGATCACATGACCCTGTGACACTGCGCCCATCATAAATACATGCTGGTTGCCAGGAGCCCAAAGTTTGATACATGACTGTGGAAAGTTGCAATGGTTGTAAATGCAAGGATCAGTTGTAAGTCACTTTTTTTCTGTGACTTCAAGCAGTCACTAAATGAATGGCTATAAACTATAAACTGAGGACTACCTATATATGTGAAAATGTCAGGGACTGATCTCGAACTTTCTCTTATATTTTATCATCAAATCCATCCAAATAATGTTGAGATCTGGAGAGGCCACTTCAACTGCCTTATACAGGTAGTCCTCAACTTACAACCGAAATTGAGCCTAAAATTTGTATTGCTAAGTGAGACAGTTGTTAAATGAGTTTTGCCCCATTTGACAACCTCTCATGCAGTGGTGGGATTCAATTTTTTTTACTACTGGTTCTGTGGGTGTAGCTTGGTGGGCATGGCAGGAGAAGGATACTGTAAAATCCCCATTCCCTACACACTCCAGGGGGAAGGTTACTGCAAAATCCCATATACTCCCCACCCCACTAACCTGCTTTCCAGCTCCGTTCTCCTGTGCAGGGCAACAAAAGAAGACCCAGCCAATCAACTGGCACTCGGGAGGCGGAGAATAGATGGGGCCAGGCCAGTCAGAGGTGGGATTTGCTGGTTCTCCGAACTACTCAAAATTTCCGCTACCGGTTCTCCAGAACTGGTCAGAACCTGCTGAATACCACCTCTGCTCTCGTGCCACAATTGTTAAATGAATCTGGCTTCTCCATTGACTTTGCTTGTCAGAAGGTCGTAAAAGGGGATCCCATGACCCCAGGACACTGCAATTATCATAAATACACACCAGTTGCCAAGTGTTTGAATTTTGATCAAGTGATTATGGAGATACTGTTACAGTTGTAAGTGTGCAAAACCGTCCTAAGTCACCTTTTTCAGTGCCATTGTAACTCTGATGGCCACTGAACAATCTACAACAGGGCTCCCTGTTTTTCATTTGTCCATTTGCTATGAAATTCCAGCTGGGCTCAATAGCTTTTCTATCTCATAGGGAGGTTGTTTGAGCGCAGAGCAAATACGGACTCTGTTCCTGAACTTTCAGCTTTAGTGTTGTGGCTTGCCAGCGGCTAGTGGAGCTGGCAGTAGAGTCGGATAGTGATGAGGTTGTGGAGGAATCTGGGCCAGTCCTGGAGGCTGAGGAAGGCTCGGACAAGGGCTCTGCATCAGAGGCAGAGTGGGATCGGGGCAGGCTGTCAGTCATCAGCTGCCTTCGAAGTCCGACAGCAGTGAGGTGGGGGAGCAACTGGAGCCAGTTCCCAGCCTGCACATGCACAGAGCTGCCAAAAGAAAAGAACAATTATGAACTAAGGGTCGACATGGGAGTAAGGCCACAGGTGGACGGTGAATGGCCCCTCCCATAGGGATTAAAAGAGGAGCAAAAGGGGAGGGGGCTTTTGCAGGAAACAATTCATTCGTTCCAGCAGTGTGAAGATCTGTCTGTGTATCTCAGAGACTCTCTGCCGAGTCCTTCCTTGTCAGCACTGCGTATGAAAATATTTACTTGGCAGCTCTCCAGGCTAGATAAGGTCTGTGTTCCTAATTACACCCTTGAAAGACAGTTTGCCAGGCTTTGGGCTGAATGTGAACGCAAGAAATTCACCTTCGTTTAAGAAAAGGGGTTTTGCCGGGACAAAGAGTCTGCTTAGTGCTTTTTGGGGAAGCCTTGGGTCAGAAGATTGTCTTTATCTCGGAATCAGAAATTAAACTTTTCATGCACATACCAACCGAGGGATGAGGAAGGTTAGATGTTGCAGACGCATCTTGGACAAGTGGATCAATGCTAGCGATTTCAATTGACTTGTGCTTCCGGGTTCATGACTCCTACCTTTGTTTTTCTCCCCACCTCCATGTCTTTCAGTGAGATTCTTGAACCAACCTGGTACAGCAACAACAGTCTAGTTGGCAGCGATGAAGCCCTGTGCAACATCAGCTCTTTTCTTCCTTACCAGGCATCTGGAGGGCATGTCAAAAAAGCCCTGGTGGTCACTGGGGATTTCCTTGTAAGATAAAATTTTTAATGGGTCCCTTTCCTCTATAGTACGGATAGTCCTCGATTTACGACCTCAGTGGAGACCAACATTTCTGTGGCTAAGCAAAACAGTTTTTAAGTGCATTTTGCCCCATTTTATGACCTTTCTTGTGGGATGCGGTGGCTCAGTGGCTAAGATGCTGAGCTTGTCGGTCAGAAAGATCGGCAGTTTGGTGGTTCGAATCCCTAGCACCGCGTAACGGAGTTCCCGTTACTTGTCCCAACTCCTGCCAACCTAGCAGTATGAAAGCATGTAAAAATGCATGTAGAAAAATAGGGACCACCTTGCTGGGAAGGTAACAGTGTTCCGTGCGCTTTCGGCGTTAAGTCATGCCAGCCACATGACCATGGAGACGTCTTCGGACAGCACTGGCTCTTGGGCTTTGTAATGGAGATGCTCAGGCAGGAAATCCTGTGCCATTTCAGACAAATGGTTATCCAATCTCCTCTTAAAAGCTTCCAGTGTTGGAGCATTCACAAGTTCTGGAGGCAAGTTTTCCGCTGGTTAATGGTTCTTACTGACAGGAAATTTCTCCTTAGTTCTAAGTTGCTTCTCTCTTCTTTTCCTGCCTTCATGTGCTAGGGAGAAGAGCCTGACTCTCTCTTCTTTGTGGCAGTCCCTGAAATATCGGAACACTGCTATCATGCCACCCCAGTCCTTCTTTTCATCAAACTAGGCCACGGGTCTTCAAATTTGACAGTGTTAAGACTTGTGGACCTCAACTCCCAGAATTCCTTCTCCAGTCATGTTAGCTCAGGAATTCTGGGAGTTGAAGTCCACAAGTCTTAAACTTGCCAAGTTTGAAGACCCTTGAAGTAGACCTACACAATTCCAACAACCGTTGTTGGTAGGGCAGCTATAATTCTGGGCAAGGAAATCAGACAACCCCCCGCCCCCCCGGGTTATACGTCTGGGCTTCCTCTCTCCCCAGGAGAAAATCTTTCACACGGAGGAGGAGAAGAAAGCAAAGAAGATGAAAGGCCTTTTGGGGTCTTTGCGCTTCCGGACTGCGGACACCAGCAAGGAGCACGGGAACCTCATTGAAAAAGCCTTTGTGGAACTGGCTACCACTTGCCAAGCTGTGATCTGCTGCAGGGTCACACCCAAGCAGAAGGCCCTCATTGTGCAAATGGTGAAGAGACACAAGAATTCCATCTCCTTGGCCATCGGAGATGGGGCCAATGACGTCAACATGATTAAAAGTGAGTTCTCCTGCTGCCCTTTTGGGTCTCAGATATACAGTCTTGGGCAGGAAGGTATGCTCTCAAATTGGTTTTCGTCAGCCAAGATGCGTGGAGATTGTACAGGTAGTCCTCAACTTACAACAGTGGCCGTTCAAAGTTACAACGGCACTGAAAAAAAAAGTGACTGATGACCATTTTTCACCGTAAACGACTTTTGCAACATCCCCATGATTGAAATTCGGTTATTTGGCAACTGGTTCATATTTATGACGGCCGCTGTATACCAAGTTCATGTGATCCCCTTTTGCGACCTTCTGAGAAGCAAAGTCAAGGGGGAAACCAGATTCACTTAGGTTACTAACTTATCAACTGCAGGGATTCACTGTGGCAACTGTGGCAAGAAAGGCCGTAAAATGGGGCAAAACTCACTGAACAAATGTCTTGCTCAACAACAGACAGTTTGGACTCGGGGGTGGTCATAAGTCGAGGACTCCCTGTACTTCTTAAGAGGACTAGCCAGGGGCTGTAGGCTATGCTAGTTGTGGCTGACAGCAATTGTAGTCCAAAGCATTTGGATGGTGCCGCAGTGGAGAAGGTGGATTTAAATGTGCAGTTGATTCGATTTGCCTGAGGAAAACAGAGGCTTTGTGGCTGGTGCAGGCCACAGCAGAGCTGTCACCGTGGAAACGTAAGTTTAACTTTTATACACACCGGGACTTCCCTTCCTGTGAAGAAAGAGCTAGGTTGGTCTTACAGGTGGGAGAGAAAAGAAAGTGTGCTAGGCAGGGCTCTCCAACCTTGGCAACTTTAAGCCTGGTGGACTTCAACTCCCAGAATTCCCCAGCCAGCTGGCTGGGGAATTCTGGGAGTTGAAGTCCACCAGGCTTAAAGTTGCCAAGGTTGGAGAGCCCTGTGCTACAGAGTTTGGAGATTCGTGTTGAGGATATCTCAAACCTAAGACACTTAGGGGCCTTTTTGTAACTATTATCTTTTGACAACTTGGAAGCCATTTTTCTTTAGAAAAGCATTTAAGATGGATGAATTCCAATTTCTTTTAGAGAACAGTGGGTGATGTGACAGTTATATCAACCATAGATGGTTAAAAAAAAAAAAAAGCATTAACAAGGTGGGCAGGACCAGGCAACTGAAGCCCCACCCCTTTTGTACCCATGGGATGAGTGATCAGATGATTGACAGACATGAAAAAGGGCAGAGCTTCAATCATCTGATCACTCCTCCCATTTGGATGTAGACTTTTCCGTGGATGCTGTGATTAGTCCATTAGATTTCATTATGTCATGTTCCAGTTGCTACTCTCTCAAAGTCCTCCTTGTTTGTTTGTTTGTTTTATATGCCACCCATCTCACTATCAAAAGACTCTTGACAGTGTTCCTTTTCATGTGTCAATACTATTGATGCCAAGGATGTGCAATATTTTCCCTATTAAAGGGCACATGGCCTGAGGTTTTATCTTTCAGAGGTCATGTGATACAGTGATCCCCAACCTTTCTTATGCCGTGGCCCGGTATCCCCAACCTTTTTTATGGCGCGGCCCGGTACCGGCATTAGCTGGGCGCCGCCATCTTTTTTTGATGAAAAAGTGCTTCCGGTGACCTCACCGGAAGCACTTTTTCATCAAAAAAAGATGGCGGCGCCAGCGCTTCCGGTGAGCTTTTCTGGGTAGAAATGGCTTTCTACCCGGAAAAGCTCACCGGAAGCACTTTTTCATCAAAAAAAGATGGCGGCACCCAGCAAGCCAGCGGCCTGGTAGGACTTGTTCCATGGACCGGTACCGGTCCACGGACCGGTGGTTGGGGACCCCTGATGTGGTAGGTAGGGCCAAAGCAAGTTAGGATTAGAATTAGGGTTAGGGTTAGGGTTAGTGTGAGATCATAAAAGAACCCCTTTTCTTTCCCCCGTTTTTCTAACACCCTTTTTATTTCTGTATCCTTCCTGCTTTTCTTTTGAAGTCCTCAGGACCAAGCTTGGAAAGCCAATGTTGATGAGTATTTGGATTGAAGACTTCAGAAATCCCTGGCCTGTAAAATAGGTTTAGAAATTTCAATTCCTTCAATTTGAATTTGATTAGAAGCTATCTTTAGCATTAAAAAAAATAATAATCCAAGCATCAAGGAAGGGAAAAACCAACCCTTACAAGATGTTTAAACAGATCTCTTGCTGAGGACGGTTAAGAGTTGGCCAAAGTTGCCTTTAGCTTCATTGCTACAGCGTTATCTACCTGGTTCGTTGGGACAGGTGGTGGTTTCCCACTCCTTCGGGCCTCTATCTGGGAATTAAAGCTGGGGTGATTTGCAAACAAGACTTGCAGTCCCCTGCAAGGATCCTTCCCCTTCCCCATCTTAATCAGAAACTTCTGAGCTTTTCATAAAGACACAAATTGGAATACTTGGAATACTGCATCCAGGTTTGGTCGCCACAATTAAAAATGATGTTGAAACTCTAGAAAGAGTGCAGAGAAGGGCAACAAAGGTGATTAGGCTAAAACATGTAAAGAATGGTTGCTGGAATTGGGTATGTCTTGTTTAATGAAGAGAAGGACTAGTAGTGACATGATAGCAGTGTTCTGATATCTCAGGGGTTGCCACAAAGAAGAGGGAGTCAAGCTATTCTCCAAAGCATCAGAAGGCAGGACGAGATGCAATGGACTGAAACTAATCAAGGAGAGAAGCAACTTAGAACTAAGGAGGAATTTCCTGACAGAACAATTAATCAGTGGAACAACTGGCCTCCAGAAATTGTGAATGCTCCAATACTGGATGTTTTAAAGAGATTGGATAACCATTTGTTTGAAATGGTGTTGGCAAACCTTTTCGGCACCGAGTGCCAAAATGGGAGCAGGCGTGCACGGGAGCACCAGAAACCAGAAGAGCAATGGGATGACATGCCCAATGAGATGGCTCTGCGTGCCACTTCTGGCATACATGCCATAGGTTCGGCATCACGGGTATAGGATTTCCTGCCTGAGCAGGAGATTGGACTAGATGACCTCCAAGGTACCTTCCAACTCTGTTGTTCTGTTAAATAATTGCTGAAGTCAAAATTGGAATGTGGTCTGATATTAGCCCTTCCTCGTGTTCTCTCTAGCTGCGGACATAGGAGTTGGAATCAGCGGGCAAGAAGGCATGCAAGCAGTACAGTGCAGTGATTATGCACTGGCTCAGTTCCGCTACCTTCAGCGGCTCCTCTTTGTCCATGGAAAGTGGTCCTACCTCCGGATCTCCAAATTTCTCCGCTACTTCTTCTTCAAGACGTTTGCTGGCATGATGGTGCAAATCTGGTTTGCTTTCTATACAGGATTCACAGCACAGGTGAGTGTTAATTCCCCCCGCCCTGCCCTAAACCCCTGATTCTAATCTTTTCAGTCTGACTTTCATTTCTGAACTTGTGTGGTGCCGGGTTCCCAGCCAGACATGGATGAGGAGGAGTCAAGCAGGGAGGTAGTCTTGAATCCTTGTGTGACCCCCCCAGATTCATAAACCTGACTCCCCCGCCCCCACTTTAATTTAAATGAAACCTTATCGGTTTGTTCCCAAGGGAAAATAAAAAGTCTGGGGAGATTCTTGTAATATAGGTAGAACACAATAAAGTTGAACCTTTGAACCTTTCCCAAGTGGATCTGGTTGTTTGCTTGTGCCAGACATGTTCATAGCATTTCTCTGGTCTACTAATTTTGTCACACTGTCAACGAATAAAGTAAGATTTCCCTGGCATGATCTGTTCTTGAGAAACCCACTTTGGCTTCTGGTTATGACTTTGTTTGTCTCTAGGTGTTCAGAGATTCGTCGCTTAATTGTCTTTTCCAGAATCTTCCCAAGTATTGATGTCAGGCTGGTAGGTCTGTAGTTTCCTGGATCTATTTTGCTCCTTCTTTGAAGATGGGAACTACATCAGCTCTTTTCCAGTCATCTGGTAGTTTCCTGGTATTCCAGGATCTTTGAAAGATGTGGTTCAGTGATTCTGAGATCACATCTACCAGTTCCTTCAGAAACTTGGGGTGTAATCCATCTGATCCTGATAACATGATACGGTTCTTGGCATAAATTTCTTCTGAACTCACCCCATGGCCTTAAAACAGGCATGATACACTAATGTATTTTACCTATGTGTGGGTGGATTGTAGTCTGGATTTCCAAGAGGGAGGGGCTGCATTCCAGAGGGCAAAGAGACAGCAAAGCTTAGATAGTTTGGTTAGGAGAAAGAGAATTAAGAAGGCTCCTCCCTACCAATTCTCTGACAATATCCTTTTTTAAACTGCAAATAGTAATTTTAGTTTGGCAAATGGTCTGTCTATAGGAGAGGAACAATAAAGGAAACTGCTCAGAATTAATTCCATTTTATTTCTTGGTTCTTGGGGCCTGACACTTTGCATGCTTATATCAGTCAGTTATTATTGTGGGGAAAGGGCAAGGAAGAGGCACAGTTGAAACAGAAGGAAGAAAACATTGTGGCATTTATGCACACAAGGCATTGTGCATATTGTACTGAGGGATCAGCTGCATTGGAGTGCAAGGGCGTGCAAAGCATTTAAAGACACATTGCAAAGAGTGCCAGCATAAACACAGCTTCCTCCTTGATATTCAGTGCAAACATAGCTACATCTTCACTAGTAGCAGGATTGTTGTTGCGACAAAGCCCTCGCCTTGATCAGTTAGCCACGAAAATCAACAGACGGAATCTATCTATTCATCCTGTAATTTGTAGATGGACTAATGGCGATTATTCACAAAGGCTGTGGGCTTTCTCTGGAATCATTGATGTTCCTGGAAAAGCCATCCAGCTTTAGGAATTTAGTTCCGATTCTGGATAATGTGCTGAGGAAGAAAATGATAGTCCTGGTCATAGATTTCAAGATGTCTCTCTAATCTTCTCTTTCTTTTTTCTTTTTTCTCTTTCCGTTCAGCCTCTGTTGGATGCCTGGGTCCTCGCCCTTTATAATGTTATCTACACATCGTTCCCAGTCCTGTGTTTGGGCTTGTTTGAACAGGTAAGTAACTTTGCGTTATGCAGTGTTTTACACTGTATCGTTTTCATTGTAAGTTAAATCAATGGCCACTGGTATGTTCGGGGAAATATCCTTTACCTCCCTAATGCAAAAGAGAGAGAGAGAAGGAGGGAGGGAGGGAGGGAGGGAGAGGGAAGTGCATCCTTGATTTAAAGACAACCAAGAAATATTCCACTTAGCTAGAATCTCAAATAGCCCAGTCTTTTTGATGTCTCCGATGAGGATAACTAGAGCAAATTTTACAGGAGAACCATGTAGAAGGCAAGTGGAAAGAAATGGCAGCATTTGCTTTGAGAAGCGACAAGCAAGTTTAGTTTCTCTAAATTTTAGCGATTTTAAGATGTGTGCACCAACCCCCAGTTTCCCCAGCAAGGACTACCTATAGAAAAAAAACATTATTTTCTTCCAAGATGGCTTTTTCATTGCTCAGTGCAACCTGTGAGCTTGTACAGTGATCTCCCTTCTAAATTCGAATTAATTCAGAACTTGTTTTCTATTTTCAAAATCGGGAAGCGTTTGCTAGATGCTTGCCACCTATTAAAGCATTTGGAGAATATGTACAAATAAATGAGATTTGTAGAAAAGAGGAAGAGTGATGGTTAAGTGTTAAGATTGTCATCCACGTCTCCTGTTACCCAGTGAACTATTTTGAGCCACTCTCTACAGTTTTTGGTTGAAACTTGGTGGGTGGTGCAATGAAGGGCAATGAAATGGCTCTGCCTAAAGGAGGTAGATCTTTGTTATGTAGAATAAACTGGCCCAGACCTTAATGGTCTATTAACAAAGGTGTGAAGGGGGCTGAGTTTCTGCCTCTCTAAGTTTCTACTTCTCTTTTAGGGGAAATATTCTGCCTTTTTAATATATCCTGAAATATTTCATTTTTCTAGGAGAGGGGTAGGTTTTAACTTCCAACAGTTGCACACTCCCTCCCGACAGTATCTCTTAGCCCAACCAACCCAAGAGGTTTGCTGTGTAAACATGAGAATCAGATTATTGTGCAGGAATTGCTATCTATAACCAGCATGATTTGATTCATAAGCTACAGTAAGATCTGAAAAATGTAACAAATTTAGCAAATCAGAAAAAAAGGAAAAAGAAGAACTGAAATGTTAAAGCTTATGTTAAGAAAAACCCAAACTTGGGACATGTTATGAAGCTCATTAGTAAGATTATAATCCAAAACTCATATTCATATTGAGTTAAATTCCAGATCAGGTTTTTTTAAAACAACAACATGAAGTTAGCTTTTACTCCCATAGCTTAAGTTGTCATACTTCTATGGAAGAAATTAATAAAAGGTAGTGAAAGCCACTTTGGTATATTTTGGAAGTTTTAACCATATTTTTTATTGAACACTATTTGCCTTTCAGCAAAGTGGAATGATACTACTTTGACAACATAAGTGTAGATGCTGTTATTCAAACAATGAAAATTGAGAAGAAATAGATAATGGCCTAATGGTTACTGGCATTACTTAACATTTTGAGGAAATCCCAAATTGCATAGGGCTATTCTTTTCCTTTGTTCTTTCTAGGGTAATTTTGTGAAGGGTTTTTTGTTTTTAAAATCATGGCAAGTCTCTTGTGGGTCTTCCAATATAGTTTTCATGCATTTTCCACCTCAAAATGGGGAGAATTGTGACATTAATTCTCTTTCAGAGTCTTGAGGAATGAGTTTGGCTGTAGACCTGGGAGTTACAGTATCCATTTTGGAAATAGAGAATCTGGAGATCAAATTTCTGCCTTCTGTACCTGACATCACCAGCAGGGGGCAGCAGTATCCCTTTTGTGACAGGACTTTGCCCCATCTTCTTTTACTGAGGCAAAGATGGGAAATATTTGTTTATTATCCCCCCACTTTATTACTTTTCTAAATAATTCAAGGCAACAAACTTATATAATATTCCTTCCTCCTCTTATTTTCCCCCGTCACAATCACCCTGTGAGGTAGGTTGGGGTGAGAGAGAATGACTGGCCCAAAGTCATCCAACCGGTCTTCATGTCTAAGACGGGACTAGAACTCACAATCTCCTGGTTTCTAGCCTGGTGCCTTAACTGCTAAATCAAACTGGCTCTATGTTATGCCCAACGGTTGCCTTTTTTTGAGCAATATTTTCAGTGGTTTGAGTATAAAGGTGCATCAATCTGTTGATGATGTCATTGGAGGAGCAATGATGAATTCTAGCTTTTATTTGCCATTGGTGGAAAGGTTGTGACTAGGGCTAAGGTAAGATTAAGGGGTAAGCTTATCAATGGTTTTAACACATCTGTTTTGCTTTTTTGCTTTGCAAAAACTAGAAACCACCTGTTGCTACCAAGGTTCAGCTGGTCACATCTGGAATATTTTGGGAACCAATAAAAAGGAACAGAAGGTTGGGGGAAATCATTACATTGCACTCCTGTTTTAGAGTACAGGTAGTTCTTGATTCACAATAGTTTGTTTAGAGACTGTTCAAAGTTACATGGAATTAAAACAAGTGACATGATGTTTTTCACACTTATGACCATTGCAGCATCCCCATGGTCATGTTATCAAAATTCAGATGCTTGGCAACTGACTCATTTATGACGGTTGCAGTGTCCTGGGGTCATGTGATCACAGTTTTGTGACCTTCTGGGCACAAGCAAAGGCAATGGGAAAGCCATATTCATTTGACAACTGCTGTGCTTCATTTAACAATTATGGCAGCAAAGGTTATAAAATGGGGCAAAACTAATTTAATAACTGTCTTGCTTAGCAACAGAAATCTGGCCTCAATTTTGGGCTTGTAAGTCGAGGACTACCTGTAATCTTATCCAGTGTGACTCCCTCCAGATGTCAACTCTGAAGCTGACCTGGCTGAAGCCATCTTTTCCTGCCTCAGAGTTGCCATGACCTTTGAAAGGGGGAAGGGAAAGGGGAAGCAGATAGACTGGCTACCAGTCAAAACAAAAGGTTTTCTTGTGGGAACCAAGGTCATCCCAACAGATGGCAAGTGAAGGAGATGAGTGACCAAGCAGCCTCCCAGCTACCTTCATTGGACAATATGAATGGTGATACCTAGGGAGGGGATATTTGCTCTTTTAATTAGGAGGAAAACCACAGGAACCTTTAGAGTTGGTTTTCACTAGCTGTGCCGATATAATTTGTCCAATAAACATGTTCTTTGAGGAATCTACCTGCCTCAGGAATCTACCTGCTTTTGGTGGATGTATTACTCGGAACTCTGACAGCAGATATGTTTAATCTACAACTGCCAGCAGTCAGTTCCACTGTTCCATTCCTGACCTTTTCCCTCATTCCTGAATTGCCTTCACTCTTTCTCCCATTAGGATGTAAACGCCAAGAAAAGTCTGCAGTTCCCTGAGCTGTACAAGGCAGGTCAAAAAGACCTCTTCTTCAATTTTGGAATATTCTTTGTGTCATTCATCCATGGATCCTTTGTCTCTTTGGTCAACTTCTACGTCACCATGTGGGCCATGGGGGACAGATCAGGCATCCGGGTCACTGGTGATTATCAGTCCTTTGCAATGGTTGTTGCAACCTCTGCCATCTTGACAGTTATGGCTGAGGTGAGTAACTTTGTGCGGTGGTAGGGAAGTTGAATGTGATAGAATTTCTCCATGAATTCCTCTGGTAGTCGATTTAGAGCAGATGCCTCCAAAAAGGTAGTCCAGAGTTGGCCCAAAATCAATGAATAAAGAGCTGGTGCAGGATTGTGCACAGTCATTCCAGGAAGTGCTGAGAAAGGGAAGAAACCCTTCTAGAAAGATCCTGTCTCTACTATAAACACAACACATGCTTTTTAAATATAAATTTAAGAAAACTTTGGAGAATAGCTTGACTCCCTCTTCTTTGTGGCAACCCCTGAGATATCGGAATACTGCTATCATGTCTCCCCTAGTCCTTCTTTTCATCAAACTAGACATACCCATTTCCAGCAACCGTTCTTCATATGTTTCAACCTCCAGTCCCCTAAGCATCTTTGTTCTCTGCACTCTTTTCTAGAGTCTCAACATCTTTTTTATATTGTAGTGACCAAAATTGGATACAGTAATTGTGCATCCAGTTTTGGTTGCCACAGTATCGATTGTAGCTCAATTGTGGTTATAAGTCAAGGACTACCTGTAGCGGAAAAAATGCACTTTGATGCCACCACTGTTGTGGACAGATTCTAAGAGACAGAATCCTACTCACCTCCCATCTGTTTCTGTTCATTTGTGTGTGTGTGTGTGTGTGTGTGTGTGTGTGTGTGTGTGTGTGTAATTTACTAAAACAGCTATAGAGATAGCGAATTCAGGAAGACCCATTTTTTTTACAGAGTCTTTCCAAAACTTTCTCTTGATCTCAGAACTGTTAGACGGTTCCCATGAAAGCATAACCTGAATGAAATGAGTTTGACCCTCTGCTTGACTGGGTCTATTTGATTTCCCCCTCAGGATTAGTTTACTACCTCAATTGACTCCATCTTAACCTCCCTTAAACCGGTTAAATGCATTATGGGAACAGGATCAGCATGTCTGACATCGTAGTGTTTATTTGAAAGCAATCTACTACAGGATGGAGTGTGTGTATACATATACATATACACATTATATATATATTTGTTTTCTTAGGTTTTCACGGGTACTTACATATATGGTATTCAGCTTTGTTCGGGTATTTTCCCACGTCATTATAATTGTGCTTTTAAAAGTTTAAAGTTTAAAAGCACAACTATAATGACGCAGGAAAATACCCGAACAAAGCTGAATACCATAGATAGATAGATAGATAGATAGATAGATAGATAGATAGATAGATAGATAGATAGATAGATAGGTAGATGTAGATGTAGATGTAGATGTAGATGTAGATGTAGATGTAGATGTAGATATATGAAATGAATGCAGTGGAAATGAGAGAGATATGCCCATGTTTTGTAGCTACTCTTTCCATTCTCCTCCATGTGTGTGTGTGTGTGTGTGTGTAAAATTTCTTTCTTTCTCTCTTTCTCTGTCTCTCTTTCTTTTCTTTCTTTCTTCCTGCCTTATTTTATAAATAACTCAAGACAGCCAACATATCCAACACATCTTCCTCCTCCTATTTTCTTCACAACAACAACCCTGTGAGGTGGGTTGGTGTGAGAGAGGGTGATGGGCCCAAGTTTTTCCCTTCTTCTCCCCCAAGTCAACCATTTTTTTTAACCAGCACAATTCTGACAGTGTCCTTTTGTCGTCCCCCCCCCCCCCCCGCCTTCCTTCCTTGCATAGATCATGCTGGAGATGAAATTCTGGACCGTCTTCTCTTCCCTGGCCATCTTGATCAGCCTCCTGCTCTATTGTCTTTCCACGTACATCACTCAAAGCTTCCTAGTTTACAGAACCTTTCCCAAGACGTTCCCCTTTCTTGGTAAGTTACCTCCAGATGTAACTCTTGGGGGATTTCTCTTGCATGTGCAAATTTAAGCAGTAAGTTTGATTGCTTCCTGGGAGGGCTTGGGTCATACAGTATTTACAATCTGGTCCCAAGATGTTAAATAGAGAGAGAGAGAGAATATCTTTATTTTCATTACATTCCACAAATACAATTAAATTTGAAAGCTACTCCAGCACAGTGCCCCAAACACCACATCACAATCACGCTACAGAGTATTTAATAATAATAATAATAATAATAATAATAATAATAATAATAATAATA